GACACCTCACCAAAAGAGAGGACTCTCAAGTTGGACTCACTTCCTCACGGTAAGGAGAGATTGAGAGAGTAGATAAGGTAAGGGAACAACGTACCTGGAGATAGCTGCCCCCAACCACAGATTTCTCACCAATTGAGCCGATGTTGCATTTGATGACCGGTCATGACCTCGGTACCACCCACAACGCAATGCAGTGCCACCTTAGTCCAATGCCACATCAGCATGCTCTCATCATCAATCAAACATTCCGCCTGTCACCACGGCTAATATGCCGTCTGTAGCCTTCCGGTGCACCCCTCTCTACCCAGGGCGTGCACCTAGTGTAGCCTGACGTCACAAGTACCCACTGCGAAGAAGCATCATCAACGCACCAAGTCTGTATAACGCCAGCGTGCCAAAGGTAAGTGGCGATCAAAACAGCTCCGATACCAAATTGCAAGGAACACGAGTATGGATGAAGCACAGAAATCCGGAATGCAAAATCACACTGAAGTCCAAGTATTGAAAGCCAAAGCAGATAGCACATGGAACCGAGTAACCATCCAATTGAGAATGATACAGAAGAATCGTGAGTCAATGTCCATGCCCAACAGGGCAACWCCAACAGCATAACCCAAATGTAGCTCTCTCTTGTGAATGGCGCCAGGCGCCCTATCTACTCTACAGCCTATCCTACAACTACAGCAATGAACAGCAACCAGACAACTTGACTACCAGCGAGTGATGATGTCAACACCAATGCCGTATTCCACCATCACCAGGTACGTGTCCTCTTCCCCACACTCTCCCTTGTTACCCACACAGCGCCCTTCACCTCCGAAGTACCACCTTCGCCCTCACCTCCCCTGCACCCTCTTGCGGCCCGGCTATGGCCGCCAGTGCCCTGCACGCAGGCAGCGCCCTACCGCCTAGCACTGGCCTGCTCTGTCTTAGCGCTGTGCTGCTCTGCATAGCGCTGCACACTTGCATCTGCGCAGTGTGCCCGCATATGCCAGCATTGGCCAAGATCCTGCTGCCTCGCCCTGCTTGCCTATATGCCAATGCAGCATGTGGGCGGCCTCCCTTCAGCCTGCGACCGGGACCCAGAGGCTGAAGCCTTCCTGATACAGTCGGGCCCCGGAGCAATGCAGTTGTGCCTCTCTTCTCAAGGCCTGCGGCCAGATTCAGATAGTGGGCCGATTTTCCCTTTGGCATTTCGGCCTATCTACCCAGCATGCATTGTCGGCCTCACGTTCGAGTGCCCAGGGCCTAACTAACTCAGAGGCCCTGGGCATTTCAGCTTTTGCTGAAATCCGAGACTCGGTGCACTCCAACCAACTGGCGTGCTGCAACTGTATAGACCCCACTTCGTGAAATGTTGGCCGAGAGGGCTCTTGTTGATTTGCTGGCCCGCCTTCACTTAGGGCGGGCACTAGGCTTGCTGGGGCCTTAGCCCAGAACATGTACAACATGGCAAGGCCCCTACTTGAGGGCTCAATCCTCACATAATCACTACAGATATAATTATCGCTAATTTCCTGCCTGTGACAAGCAGACGATCGGGGCCCTACGATCTTTTGTTGCGCGATGGTCCCGATCGTCTGCTGATCGTTTTTTCTTAGAAGTTGAACCGTTGCAGCACCGCCCAGGGCCGGTACCGACCCTGCGAGCCATGCCTGTGCCAGTACCACGCGCGGTATGAGTTCTAAATAGACACACACACAAACACACATACACACACACAGACACACACGCACAGACTTTCGGGGTTCAACCAGCTGATGAGTCGGTGAAAGTCTGATGAAACAGTCTGTCACAGTCATGCTTTTTTTTAGTGTATAGCGAATATGACAACACACACACGCAGGCACACACACACAAACGCACTATCCTCTCTCTCTCTTTCTATCTCTCTCTTACACACACACACATGCACACACGCATGCACAGCCCTTCCTGATGCACGCGCGTGCACGTGAGAGAGAGAGAGAGAGAGAGAGAGAGAGAGAGAGAGAGAGAGAGAGAGAGAGAGAGAGAGAGAGAGAGAGAGAGAGAGAGAGAGANAGAGAGAGAGAGAGAGAGAGAGAGAGAGAGAGAGAGAGAGAGAGAGAGAGAGAGAGAGAGAGAGAGAGAGAGAGAGGGAGAGTCCATTAACCTCTTTGTTTTCCTTGGCAAACATTCCTTCTTTATTGCGGGCGCAGCTGCAACAAGTCCCCTGGTGAACATGACGACTTTTGCCTCAAGGTCACCCCAAAATTCTGTACCAAATTGAAAATAAGAGTAAAATTCAAGAGCAAGGTTTTTTTTTTTTTTGTTTCGGCCTGGCTGGGCAAATGGTCCTGAGCCACTCTGGTAGCCTAGATTAATATTTAACATTAATTAATAAAACATTTTGGCTCCCACTGGTACACGCATGCACAGCCCCTATTTCTCCTGTTTTGTGGCATTTCGAATGCTGTCTCTTGGTCACACACCTCCTTTTTTAATTTGTTTTTTTCATTTTTTTTGTACTTTTTCCGAAGTTTTTCGTACTTGCACACATTGCCATGTGTCATGCCAGATTATGCCATCGAATGTGAACTGGTGTTTTAAACTGTTTTGCTGACCTTTTTTTTCCGCTCATGCTTTTTTTGTTTTTGTGTGTGTGTGTGTGGGTGTGTTCTGTTTTTTATTCATGGGACACCTGATTTACTTTTTTTGAAGTTTTTCTTTTTCCTTCGATTTTGGAATCCTGACAAACGAAGATTGGCTCTGTTGAATAATTGCATCTGCTGTTTTGTGATTTGACAACGCAGTTCGAACTCCAGTATTCGTGAGCAAATCTCAAGCAACGGCTCCTCCAAGAAAAATGCGAAAGATGGCGTTGGTCGTAAACCGATGTCTGTCAGCATCTCTTCTTCCAAATGCGATTGGCCGGCTGGTAGTGATGCTTGTGACATGGAAAGTGTGTGCGGAGGGACAATGGCGGATGGAGACGGCAGTAGCAGTGACCAAGACGACAACGAGAGCGATGCTGTTGAGCTTTTTGAATCTGAACCTGTCGTGAAACCTCTTTCAAAGGTCGAGGAAGTGACCTTTACAAAAGCTATGCAGCACATTGAAGGTAAGTTACTGCTGCATTTTCCGTCCTCAACTTGATGATGGAAAAATAAAGATGTCGTTTGTCTCCTTTCAAACAATCAATGCCGCCCATGCGGGTCTCTCTACCGTAAAGAGGAGAAGCGTTGGAGTGTGGTGTTTTCTTTGTTCTGACTTGCCGGGGGAATATGAACCGAACTGACGCTCCCCAGACTGTATATGGTGCAGCAGCCAAAATGCTCTGTTTTTGTAAATAAATAAATAAATAAATGAATGAAAATAAATAAAAATAACTAACTAAATAAATAAGTAAATAAATAAATAAATAAATAAAATAAATAAATGAATAATAGATATGATAATAAGAGTATTTATTATTTAATAATATATATAAAATATAAATAGGACTGTGGAACATAAATAGGCACTGTGGAACATAAATAGGAACCGGTGAGTAGTTGAGTGAGGCCCGTAGTCGGGTTCGCTATGTGCCCGCGTTCGAGCATTCCGATACGGCCCCCTCCATAAAACGACAACAAATGAAACACAACGGCGGGAAGGACGGGGAGGGGCGTTAGTTGGGGACCGCTCTAGTCTTTAGAGGTACAAGTGAACCCTGCACGGGAGGGGTGCGAGCAAGGAGGGAGGCGGGAAGGACAGCACAGCAATAGGGCCAACTAACACCCGCGCCCGCCCCCTTCCCTCTTCCTCCGCGACCTGGAACACCATCCAGAAAAAAGAATAAAGAAATTCAGAGAAAGCAAAAAAAGCCGTAGCGGGAGTATGCTGTAAGCCTCTGCATCGACGAGGTCACGTTAAAAAAAAAACAGCAGCTGTGCATCCTGCCGTGTTCCAGCAGGAGATTTATTCTTCTTTTGGACATTTGATGAATGTTGAAGCCGAGGCCGAATGCGGGGTACCAAAAAGGGAAAAAAATAGTTGTCTTCCCATAGTGGGAGCACGCCCTAAGCCACTGTGCGAGACAAACCCCCCAGAAAATAAAACAGCGGCGTATCTTTCCATGTTCTGATGGGAGATTCACGGGAAAAAAGACAGTTACCGAAAAGGGAGAAAAACACAGCGGTGCATGTTCCCGTGTTCCACGGGAGATTCAGTCTCATTTTGCACGTGAACCCTGGACCCAATCCTGTCGGCCCTGAGAAAAGCGTCACACTTGCTGCCAAAGAAAGGGCCAATACGCTGTCACAAAGATACACCACCATGATTTGCTCTCTAAATGTGCAAAACGAGAGTGAATCTCTCGCTGGAACATGGAAAGATACACCACCATGATTTTTGTCTTTTGTGCATGTTGAGAGAGTGAATCTCTCACTAGAACATGGAAAGATACACCACCATGATTTTTGTCTTTTATGCATGTTGAGAGTAGCGGAGCGAGGCCCTATGTCTTTCAATTTTTGTCTTTTGTGTGGCATCATATTGCCCCTCTCGGAACAGGACAAAAAGGGAGCTAACCGAAAACAAAGCAATGAATCTACTGAAAAATAAATAAAAAAAGAAAATCTTCTGAAGAAAACAAAAAACGCCTGGACACGCTGCACTCAATGTACACGCTGCGGTATGTACCTGTATTCGAACATGCACAAAAGAAAGAATATACTCTTAAAAAAAATAAAAATGACGCCTGGACGCACTGCACTCGTGTACACGCTGCGCTATGTACCTGTCTTTGAACTTGCGCGGCCAACAACGCTGCAAGACTCTCGCATGCAATTCTGCCATTTTCCCTTGGGCCCACACCTTGTTCCCACTGGTTTTCCCAAGACTGGAAGCGCGGTCTCGCGGGAGCATCATGCGAGACCCGCTATTCCCTTTATTAAGAGTACAGATATAGATTATTGTAACGAGTAAAGGCCTGCTGCAGCGGAAGTCTGTATGTGGGGAAGGGGAAGGACTGAAGCACTGTCGATGTGCGGTGGACCAGAGGCAGCAGTTGTGTTGCAGTAGGTACCTTGACTTTAGAACCAGAGGAAGTCTTGTGCAACGACAATTACTATGAGCAGTCCCAGATTGTGTATAGCTCAATCTAAGAGAAAGGAAGAAAAGAAAACAGTGAAAAGCAATATATCTGCTTCTGTCTTTTTTACCCTCTCTCTCTCTCTCTCTCTCTCTCTCTCTCTCTCTCTCTCTCTCTCTCTCTCTCTCTCTCTCTCTCTCTCTCTCTCTCTCTCTCTCTCTCTCTCTCTCTCTCTCTCTCTCTCTCTGTGTGTGTGGGGGGGGGAGAGGATCTCGCATTGGTCGAAAGGACTGGTTGGGATGGAACGAAAACAGCCAATAAAAGAACCAAAGGGAGCAAACTGATGGACACGTTCATGCGATCATGTAAATACTAAATAGCATGATGACAGCAATGGAAGGGACGTGGGTCCTGCTTTTAGGCATTTCTGTCGATTGTGGTCGGACTAAATGGTTGTGCCTCCTTTGGCCAAAGCAAATTCTGTCTTGGTCGATTGTCTCTTCTCCTAGCTGGTGTTTTGTGAAGGTCCCTATCATTATGTCTTTATTTTCCATATTCTCTTGTGTTTTGCTGCAGGTCCTCTTCCAGCGTCCTTTGTACTCAATCTCTGCTAGACATAGCAATCCTTCCCAGGTTTCATCAGCAGTCATAGAGATGCAATCAGTTGTCTTGGCACCAAGGAGACAAGTAGGAACAAGAAAATCCCAGAAACGTAAAAAAAGGGTTTAGGGTTTAGGGTTTAGCAAACCCCGTAGGGAGACGAACAAGAGGGTAGACTCATATAGCTGGACAGAGGAAACATAGCTCATCGTAGAGGTAGGCGTGAAGACATGTCGCTCAAGCACTTAGGCAGGGGAGAAAAGAGGAAGACTTTGCTCTAGACAGTGAAGATTATCAGACAGCAAGCAGTAGCTGAGAGGAATAGTAAAAGAAAAAGTAGACGATCACAGAAAACGGTAGGAAGAAGTTCACGGACAGCATAGGATTTCAATTCGAAGGAATTTCATTTCCAATCTACGACCACTAGGGTTTAAGGTTTTAACTTGGCATTAGAGCACTAATATCTCCGTCAGTGGTGGGAAAATAGGAAACTCCTGAAAAATCGGGGACAGTGCCCGGCGACAGCTGTCGTTGACAAATTGCATCAGTGGCCGTCATTGACAAATCTCATCGGCGGCCGTCGTTTCGTTTCGGCCTCCTTACAGATCGGAGGCCCATCCGAGGCCTCCCTATTTTCCCGACTGGCGGAGGTACGTGGTCCAAGTAGACAAGCCAACAGCTCCAGTACCAAATGCAAATCCGACAGCCAAGTAGTTGAGGGGAGCAAGCCTGACAAGGCTCCCAAAGATGGAACGCAAACAGCAAACGGATACAGCGAAAATTGGATTAGTATCGCATGCCAAAAGTAAGTCAAGTAGGCTAACTTAGGCAGGGGTGAGGGGCGGTACATCATCCTTCCCGCGGGAAGTAATCAATGTCCTCCACACTTGGGCCTCTCAACCGGAATGGGGAGGAGCGTGCGCGAGTCAGTCACTGTTGTAATCTCTTCTGACTTGTCTGTGGAATAGGAACCGGACTGATGCTCCCCAGAATGGAAAGGAGCCGCAGACGCGTAAGGTTCTGTTTTTGGTAAGAAAAAAAAAAAAAAAAAAAAAAAGAAAGTTGGAAGAGGGAGGAAGATAAAGGTATGTGGATTTACCTATCGATCTCCTTTTCTCTCTTGCCCATGCAAATAATGATATATCCAATGAGTCCCGCCTTATATATCTGTTCATCTTTTGGGCGCAGAAATCATAGTTGATCTTTACCTCTCTCTACATTCTCTTGGGTGCGAAATCATGTTACACCAGATGCTCTGTGTGTGTGTGTGTGTGTGTGTGTGTGTGTGTGTGTGTGTGTGTGTGTGTGTGTGTGTGTGTGTG